CTCTGCAATCGTTCCCTCGTGGCGTGGAGTGTGTTGATCCACTTGGAATGGGGTAAATCTTTTCAGCAGCTTCTTATTAATTGATATTCATTTTTTTGTTTAGTGCACGAGAGTATTTCGAACTGGTTAGGAGCCGCGGAATTACTGCTGGAATGACACCTCTGCCACGATATGTCTCAAGAGTTTGCTCTGTTATATATATGTGCTGTCATGCCCATTCTCACATTGTAAGATAGTGATTTATGTTTTTTTATTACAATGGTTTCCACTAATGTTTTAGTTTCTTTATCTTTATTTAGAATGCTACGCCTTGCCCTTAAAAACTTGGAACTCCTACTTTGCTAGTGAAATATTATTGGAAAATATTCTGTACAGTAATTTGTTTAGAGGTTGTGTTGTATTACCAGGTACTTTGGGAATATTGATATTTCAGTGACATCTGCTGCATTTGTTGTGGCTATGGCATTGCTCATGCAAAGAGGAAACCCTCGTTTTACTCAGCTTAGCAGTATCATGTTTGGGTTATTTTATTGTGGCTATCTTCCTTGTTTCTGGGTTAAGCTCATATGTGGTTTAACAGCTCCTGCCTTGAATACTAGTAAGAATATGGTTTCTCACACTTATTTGTTTGTAAATCTAAATGTTGGACAAATTTATCTATGAATAGTGATCGGTAATATTTGTTAAGATGTAAGTATAGAGCTGAAAATGGCCCTTTTTTCCAAAGCAATAATAACTTATATACTGCTTTTTCTAAAACTTGGGTGGTTTGGTTAAAGATTTAGGAGTTTCTGATGACGCATCTCAAAACTGCTTTTATTTCCTCTATGTAATGTACTCTTCAAATGTGTTGCTCCTTTTATTTCCTTCAATGTGAAACTTCATTCATATTTATTTTCACATTTGGTTCATTTGCATGTGTGATTGTGCCATTGTGGAAACAGGAACAGGTTATGAGTCTATGACTATTCACCAAACTGTTTTACTAAGAGCTTGATTTCGGCAGGAATAGGAGCTGGATGGCCTTATCTTCTTGGTGGCCAAGATCATTGGACAGTAGGCCTTGTGGTAACCTTGATTTCATTTAGCAGCATAATAGCAGCAGATACATATGCCTTTTTGGGTGGAAAGGTATGTACAGTCTTGATCAAGAACATCTTGTTTCACTTATTTAAATAAAGACTTCAAGATGCCCTGAATGCTATACTAGTTACATATTTTAACTGGTGGACATATCATCCATGATCGTGATTGTGTTTGTACCTGTTGTGGTGCAGGCCATTGGTAGGACACCACTTACTAATATAAGTCCAAAGAAGACCTGGGAATGAGCTATTGTTGGCTTGGGTGGTTGTATAGCAACTTCTGTAGTACTGTCAAAGATTTTAAGTTGGCCAGCCTCTTTGCTAAGGTTTTCAATCTATCTCACAAGTAGTAATGTACTAGAAGATATTTTGATCCAAAAATATCTCTTTTTCGCACGCAAAGGTATCCATAGTAACTTGAGAGCACTGGTATAAGTTTCCACACGAGACGTTTGTCTCAAGATCAAGAGTTAGATTTTTATTGTTGATATAGCTTATGAATCTATTAGGTTTGAAGACAGAACAAGTTCCATTAATAATTTAAGTTATCCTCATTGGGTTACAAGTTGATTTATTTTCGTTCATATGTAATCTGATGGTTACATCCTTTCGTGTTCCTACACTTTCATGCATGCAGACATTTGATAGTCAGTGTGCATGTCATAATTTGAATTTCAAAGCTTTCTATATGTCTAGTCACACATATGCATGGATGATAAGTAATAATGATGACTGATTGTTAATTCTTTTGAAACCAAATCTCTGGCTAGGATCGGTGCAAGCGCCACTTGTTATTTACTCCAGCATTCTAATACTGGGATTACTGGATCGCATTGTTATTTAAAAAAAGACTCGGTATTATGAACTTCACCGCATATACCCTGAGACTTTACAGACTCTTATCATTGGTGTAGTGCAATAACCTTTGGGATTCTCAACTTCTTTGGATCTGTTTTTGGTGATCTTACTGAATCAATGATCAAGTGTGATGCTGGTGTCAAGGACGCTGGCTCCCTAATCCCCAGTCATGGTAATTCTAGTTGCTCGTTATTTTTTTATTCAATTAATTTTCGATACTTTAAGGGTGAACACAACCTTGCTTACTTTAAACAATTGAAAAAAAGCTACTCATTATTTGACTGGAATAATTATTCATGGATCATATCTCCTTCCGTTTTGTCATCTCTATATTAACATTGTGTTTGCACTGTCGAGCAGGTAGAATACTCGACAGAGTGGATAGTTACATGTTCACAGGTGCACTCGCATACTCATTTGTCAAAATCATATTGCCGCACAAATTTGGATCGATAGCACAAGAGGGGATACAAGATAGAATTTATTCCATGTTTATATATATATATATCGAAAATTAGTGCAGAAGCACATTTGATGGATTCATGCAGAGTGTTGCTGAAAATTTGTATCGACACATTTTGTATCGACATATGATTACAATATTTTTGATAACTTTATGTTAATATATTGTATGCAAATGGATTGCTTATATATAATATGATATATATATTTAGTATTATGAGGCATTAAATATGATTTAGTTTGATTATTTGTCAATCTACAATATATATATATATATATATATATATATATATATATATATATATATATATATAATTTACGACATACAATCACGACACACGAATGTGTGTCATCTTTTCTAATGATGTGTGCTTCAATGACACGCAATGTAAGTCATAAATGCGTGTCATAAATTTATGACACAAATGTGTGTCGTCTTCATTTATGACGAAGGCTTCAATGACGTGCAATGAGCGTCATAAATGCGCTTCATAAATAAGTGTCGTAAATGCGTGTCATAGACTTATGACGCACAATTGCGTGTCATCTGAGATTTATGTCGGTGGCTTCAACAACGCGCAAATGTGTGTCATCCGCACCCATAGATGACGCGCAATGAGCGTCATTAAAGTTGTTTTTTCTAGTACTGATTAAAATGAAAATTTTGTTATTTTAAGCCTAACAGTGCCCTAGCCTAGATGATAGGGGCATGACAGTTCATATCTTAGTACCTGGGTTCAAACCACTGCAGTCACCTATTTAATTTTTAATTTTTTCCTTAGGTAACAGAGATGGTCAAATTCAAGCTTATGTCCCTGAACTTCCAAGAATTTTGAAATCTTCCTTAAAATCCTTAGAAGCTTAGAAATTTGGGGTGTGACACTCTCTCACGAAGAACTTGAAAAGAACTTAATGAAAATAAGTTTTGAAGGCACAAAGTAATCAACACTTGAAAAAAAAACCTTTCTTTGTATTATCAATCAAAGAAATATGATTTACAATGATGAATTAAGCCTCCTTTATATAGGATGGGAGTTCTAACAGTCCTAAGCAACTAATGAATAAAATAGTAATGAACTAAACATATTTTAATTCTAATTCCTAATAATAAAAAACAAAAAAAATAATGTTTTAACTCGATCTTAACTCCTAATAAAATAATAAATCTAATCCTAAAAGATAATACATCATCCTATATTAAATTATATTACAAATAATAAATAAAAATATGGAAAACTCATAATATTTACAAAATCTCATATTAATCCCGTATAAGAATTTCTGTGTGCGCTATCTTCACTAAATTAAGTGTATCTTGAGTTTTCAATATTGAATTGATGTGATTCAAGAACCGTTGGAAAGATAAAACATAATCAGTCGTAACTCCAATAGACATGTTGATCAAATAACACTAGGAGCACATTCTAAAAGTCATTGCAAGTCTGCTATTATTCTGGTATTCTTTTCCAAAGCTTGGTCATATGGATCAATTGGAAGCATTAGCCCATATTCCTCTGATGTGAGTCTTGTGATGCATGTATCATTGCGCATCATTGAAGCCCCTGTCATAAATGAAGATGACACACATTTGTGTGTCATAAATTTATGACATGCATTTATGACTTACATTGTGTGTCATTGAAGCACACGTCATTAAAAAAGATGACACACATTCTTGTGTCGTGATTGTATGTCGTAAATTATATATATATATATATATATATATATATATATATATATATATATATTGTAGATTGAAAATAATCAAACTAAATCACATTTAATGCCTCATAATACTAAATATATATATCATATATTATATAAGCAATCCATTTGCATATAATATATTAACATTAAGTTATAGAAAATATTGTAATCATATATCGATACAAAATATCACGACATATTAAAGTTTGTCACATAAGATACCCATTCTTTGCGAATATCATCAATTTCATCATCCGTGTATTCTTCCTTCCCATCGCCAACCTAAGTAAAAAATATGAAATAAGTATATAATTTATACTTATTTAAAGTGAAGTATATAACTATCAAAGAGTACTAAAATGACAAAAAACGGAGAAGAATCCCAAAAGAAATGAGAAGCAGGTTCAACATATAGCGCATAAGCTTCCAACTACATATTGTAATTATTTTTCAGACAGAAATATACCCCAAAAATATGTTGATGCCTGAACATTTGAGAGATATTCAATAGTAGCCTTCCCTGGCTTTATATTTGGTACCCTGGCACCCATCTTATTCAGGTAATTTGCTATTTCCTTCGGTAAGTTGGCCTGCACAGGAGTTTCCACACAAACAGCAAACAGAAATAAGCAATGAGTAGTGGATAAACTAATAAAAGCCAGAATTTTAGAATTCTTCAAACAAACACATCATATAAACAAATTCAAGGATTGATTATTAGATTTGAAAGATTAGTCCAATGTATACAAATAGGAAAATGGAAGAAATTTAGATAACAATAGCATACAATAAGAAAGTAATCATCAGAAACTTAGAATCACAGAGGTTCAAAAGCACTTACAATGTCAAAGATATTATACAGAAAAATAAAAAATGCATATATTGAATATTAAACCCATGGTTCTGCTCCAACAGATGTTGCAGGGTTCAATATCTCCTTAACATGCTCCCAAAATGGTGAACCAAGGATACTGCCAATAATGCAATGTGTTAAGATCATTTTGGGAATTCAAAAAAAATATAGCTTTAAGGTAAGTCTGTAGGATAAGACAAACAACAAACCCAAGATATGTAATGCATCAAAAGAATATTGCCCCAAAAATGCAAATAGAACAGAGGATTCAAAATAAGTTTTTAAATCACTTCAGGGCACAATTACCTTGCAACAATACTTGGAAAAGCCAATAGATAAGTGGTAGTGAGAACAGGTTGCATTCCTGATGGATTAATATTAAAAGGAATATAGGGTTCTACTTCAATGATCGGGGTATCTTCCCTATCCAACACACAAAATAAAGAAAATACGACATTAAGAAAGAACATATAACCATTATTATAGTTAATAAACAAACACTGAAAGTTACAAATCTCCTTAAATGAATTCAACAATAGTAGTCCTAGTTCACATAAAATTAGTTACTGCTCCCTGCTCGGATTAGCCATGAACTGTACTATCTATGCTGCACAAAGAAGAATTGAAACCAAAGACATGTCTCTCCACCAAATGTATCTAATGTCTAGGTAAGTAGCATTGACTTTACCTTGCAGCAGATGCTAGTTTAAACCCATAGTACTACAGTTTTATTTTCTTGCAACCCTCAGTTACAACAACTACCCACATGGTGACTACAGTTAAAACACCTAATACAGCAAGCATGTATGACCACCAACTCACGACACTGCCTGAGAGTTGAGTCAACATATGGCATACCTGAGAGTTGAGTCAACATCTCGTACAACGTATCTGTGTATCCAATTAATATTCCAACACATATAATTAGAGACGAACCTTGACTTAAAACACACAAGCAGTGAATTAAGAAGCCCACAATACTCAAAACATCGCAATAATGTGCAGCTTCATCACTTTCAAAATATAAGAAAACAGGATCTTTAAAAAGCACACCAATTTTATATGAACTTTCCTTGACTTTGGACAAGGTAAAAGGCTGAAACTTTTAATGAATTTCTATAACTTCTATAATCTTGGATAAAAGCATATTTCTCGTCTCAAGGTGAACATATGAGAAGAATATCACTATTTCCTATTATTTCCTCCAATCCAACATAGGGTCTCTTCACATCGAATAAACTATTTTGCTTAAAGCTCTATTTCAAGAGTTTTCCTCATTATAGATTCTAGAGAAAATAACCACTAGCTTTACATTTATTCGGTCAGTTATCAGTTGTTCTTATTAAATTAAAAACTTGTCTATAACAATTGAAATAAATAAGGAGTAAATGTAATAAGAATGATACCAAATCTGGATTCTGATATTGTATCACAGATCCATGTCATAGTCATTGCACCACAAACCAAAAGTAAAGCAATCACCATCACATGCTTAACCCTGCAAAAACCATAAGAATTTAGTTTACGAATAAAAGCTCAAATATAAGGCATAGATGGAAAAAATGAATCGAGAACATGTGAAAATTATGTTTAAGTTTTATTCCAGGAAAAGGTTGAATATGCGTCATATCCTGTCAATTTCTTGTGAGAAACAAAAGCATCAGAAATTGTTGCTTTCATGTTTATATTGCTAAAGTACCTGTAACTGGCTGCATAAATTGAATAAGGAAGAGAATAACAAGAAACTATAATAGCTTTTAGTATTGCAAAGCCAAGTGAAATCCACCATCTGCAATGAAAGAATAATAGCATGCTTTGTAAGTAACGAAAACTTTTCCTTTAGTAGTTTTTTCCTTTATTGTCGGGCCTCTTTGTTTAGAGTCTTCATCATGACTCGAAGACTGATCTGATTCCATGGTACCAAGTAGAACTTGTTTCAAATAAAAAAAGTTAGTACATTGCTATTTCTTGCAGTTGGGACATAATTAATAACATACAGATGTTGAAATAAAAACATACCAAAAATTAAAGATTTTATTTTGCACATAATATTTTAAACTAATATGCCCTGGCCATCCGTGCATGTACACAAGAAATCAGTGGATCGACCAAGAAGATCCTACAAAGAAGAAAAAAATACTTGCTTTATATATATGACAATAGTTGGCAGAATCAAAGAAAATGGTAAGTACAAACAAGAAGCATCCATCAACTAATACAAAAAAATATTAGCAACCTGCAACAATCCTAAAGAAAGGCTAAACAATACACTCGAATATTTATCTTTTTTTCACAATTAAAATATTAAATTCCTCAGTATGCAGAAACTCTATGAAATTGCTAGACTGGGTATCAAACTTTTATAATGTGATGGTACCTGTCCTGGAGCATCATAATATATAAAGAAAATAAGTTTAAAAATATTAATTTCCTCTAATATCAATATACATGAGAACGTTCTGGCACGATGACATTAAATTTCACCTAAAGATAGCAAGTATAATATTTATGCCTAGGCGGTTTAGGCAAAAACAACACCAACCAGAAAAGGTGATAGTAGATTCACAAAAAGTCAAGATAGATTACCTTATGCCTCTATTCCAGATGTGATTTGGACTCAAAGTTTCATCATGTATATCATTTCCATAATCATAACTTGATAGCATAGATGACAAATATAGTTACAAAATGTGACTACCAAGAATTTTAGCAAACATAAAGGCAAGAGTAATTCACTCGAAGAAGACAACCAGGAAAGGGAAGTCCCACCACCAAAAACCGAGCATGATTCATGTATTACCTCAAGAGTAATGAACCCACAAAGGGCCCTGAATTCTATTATGGCCAAAGCCATCTCAGGTTTATGATTAGCATCCTTATAGAGATTTGGCTTCAACTTATGCAATTCTTTGGCCAATTCTTTATCCGGATGTGCTTGTATTGAAAGGGGGTTTGCCACTGAAAGTACCTAGATTAAAGCATATGAAACACGGAATCAGATTGGGATTTTACTTGCAAAAGATAAATACCGGAAGAAGAAAATGCTCATATTGTAGTTAAAGTTATGTTGGTTGCCATTTTTAACTGTTAAGCTTAATTCTTTGCCATTAACATCTCCAAGATCCATTATAGTTCCCTAATTTATATCTTGATCGCTTTGATCTAAACTTAAATTGAGATGAAAACTACCCAAAAAGTAAAATTTTACACTTCTAAATACCAAAAGAAGCAGAGGGGGAAATAATAATGGACATCACAAAAATGGTAAAAATGGTAAAAATGGAAATTTTAGATGAATGGTGAGAATTCAATTTCCATGAATACCGAAGCAAACGTTCTGGCCATTACCACTAAAATGAAAAAGAAAACTCATTAACCCAATTCTAAACAGATACACACAAAAATCAAAAATCAATTTCCCAGTAATTAAAGGAAATGAGAAAAAAAAAAGAAATCCCCAGAAAGAAAGTAGAGAAATACGTGTAAAAGAAAAGAACTAACCTTGAACAGAAAAGGAAGATCAGACCCCCCATTTTTTCAAAACCTTGTGACCAAGCACATTCGGATTCTTTAAAATCCAATCTTTTAAACCCAAATTCCCACCTTCTCCATTGTCATCAGCTATAAAACTTGGCCCTGAGTCATGGGTTCCCATCTAAAACTCAGCAGATGGCCTATCAGGGTTAATCTTAGACCCAGAATTCAAAGCCAAAAGCCTCGCCACCTGTGCCTCTGTCCCACATCCTCCCCAATCGTAGTTTTGAACCCAAGCTCTCAGCCGCTTCACCTTCTTGACATTAGCCTTCGCCATTGCTGAACAGAACCCTCAGAAACGAAACAAAGGAAACTAATTTTGAAGAAAAATGAGAAGAGAAAGGGCTATGAGAGAATGGTAATGCCGAAGGGATAGGGGATTTTTTGCTGGTATTTGAAGAGTTTGAAAGGTTACGTAGAGAGGGGGAAACAGACTGGAAAAAGAGACCGAAAACAAGTGAAGATGAAAATTATGGGGGGGAAATTAAAAGACGCCATTTAGAGATGGCACACAATGAAAAGTGTACTCTGTGTTTTGCTAAATTTTTTGGATTATGACTATTAAATATGACACACACATTATTGTAAGTCATAATTCGTTAAGATTTTAAGAAACATGACATTTTTTTATGACACACATGTTTTGCAAGTCATAAATTAGCGTGTGTCATCGTTCGTGTGTCATTAAAGGTATATTTTCTTGTAGTGTGAATAAGTTAGTCATGTGTTGTGAGTTTACCCTAATTTAACAAGTTCCATATTCATTCACTTGTTAAGAGATTAATTGCTCATTCCACTATGTATTAGTTCCAGATACGTTCACTTGTACTTAAGCAATTAATTTCGTTGTTGCTCTTTTCATATTCAAAATCCCCTACTTATTTGCAGTAGTGGAGGATTGTTGGTAATGCAAATAGTGGAGAGATTTCTTAGGGAGTATGTTACCTATTTTTAGTGAGTAGTTGGAGTAGGTTGTTGTCACTTGACAACTTTACCCCTCTACTAATCCTATAAGAGGGAAACCCCTCTCCCTAACTAGAACACATAAATTAATAATTTCATTATTTTTTCTCGGAAGTTTCTTACTGAAGAGTGCAACACAAGCGGGTTCCACTTCCTCACTTCGGATGTACTAGGTCTGGAAGACTATGTTAACCTTGGGGGAAACTCCCATTTCAGGATTACACCAATCCAGGTGAAATTGCTTTTAAGGTAGTGGCTTCCTTACCAAGGCATAGTAAATAAATTTATTTATCTTTTTATTTCATATTATTTGTTAGTCAATGCTAGTAGTTTTATCTTGCAGCAGTATTATTTCCTAACAGTGATGATCACACCCTTGGGTGTTCCACATAAAGATATTAAAATGCATAGTAGAAAGATAGGAAAAGAATCCACAAAGGTGGATTATTCAACCATGCCTCTTGGCCATCAAAAGCATTATCCCTCGGTAGAACAGTAGTAGGAATTTAGGGGTGGTCATTTTCATCAATTTGAATAGCCTGGTGCTTAGAACGATCCAAATTTTTCAAGGAATTAGTCTTTGTTACTAGCGGCACCCGAGCAGTTTTAGCAAAATTATAAGACTTGCTAAACGACCCTGTAAGTGATCCCTGCATGGACTGAGCATGGCTAGGTTTAGAAATTTTCAATGACGTAATACCTGCCTTTTCAGAACCTGGATTGAGGTTGATTTCTTAGCTGATATGACAGCTTTTCCTTTGGCTTTATTATTAGGCCTTTGATTGGGAAGTGGAATGGCTATGTTTTCAGAATCAACGTGCGCGGAATCCGAAAAAGCATTTAATTCAGAAACTTCCATTGCATCACCCGTAATTGACTGCTGGTAATATCTTTTGCATGATGGTCGGGTTTCCTAAAAACGAGATTCATTTTTGGAATAATTGCGGACGCGATCTAATCCGCTTGATTGTTGGTTTTGATTAGCACGTGATGGCCTTTTTTTGCGCTCTACGAGCATCTAGGGACCAAAGGGCTCAACTACTGCAAGGTTTTCCGGCACCGGGGCAAGAGGGTTGCTATTCTCTTGCTGCGTGGGAGGTGGATCATTTTGAGCATGAAGTCTTGGGCATATGTCTTTCAGATGAACATAAATTTCATAGTCGAAACAAACCGTAAGAAGCGATTCATATTCAATAATTTGGAGACGACCATTAATAAGAAGTCTTGAAACCAGAGGTTTACGAAGGTTGATACTTACCATCATTCGAACAAAACGACCCCTACAACCATTGTCAGTTTGAAAATCCATCTTAATAGTTGAACCAATTTGAGTTCCAATAGCCTCAACAAAACTACACATATACAGAGTAACAGGCAATCCGGGAAGTCTGACCCATGCCATAAGTCGATTAGACGGGGCTCGGGAGGAATTGAAATCAACAGACATTGGTTCGATAATGATGTAATGACCCGTAACACGTGTCTTCGAACGAACTTCCGTCAGATTGGGTTATTTTATTTTTGCCCTTTTGTGATACCTGATCCGACGTGGTGCCATCACAGCCGTTTGTTTCCATATATCGAGGAGATTTTGGATTCTAGTGCTCCTACGTGTACTTTCGTAAATTTAAGTTATTAGCGTACTTTATCTATTTGCTATCTAATCCTTGTATTATATATATATATATATATATGTATGTATAATTGATATTTAATGTTTTATTTTCCTTTCAAAATATCAATTAATATTATTTAATATTTGATTTTAAATAATTATAACATTTATATTGAATTGGTGTTATATTTAATATAACATTTTATTTGTTTGTTTAAGATTGCAAAAGTTTCGTTGATTCATTAAAAGGCATGGTTAAAACGATAAATGGTATTAAATAAGTTATAGCCAAGCAAAGCTAGATTTAACTTCATCATTAATATAGTGCTCTGCCTTGGAAAATATCGACAACCCGATGCGTACACTAGAGAAAAGGTATTCAGTCTTGCTAAACTACACAAAGGGTTATCCGTGTCACATTCCGCTATGTTTGGCGGGTTCTTAACTGCCAAGCGTAGGGAGTTAATTACACGTGGCTGCAATGCGGAATCCGAATCATCTACCCATTTGATCGTGGCTGCCAATCTCTGCACTCCGTTGACGTGTCTTTGATCCGCCAAAACCGAATATATCTTAGGATTTCTGGCTAATGTTATATCAAAATCTCGAGATTGTCCTTCATTGTTTCCAGTAATTTAATTTACCCTAATTTTAATTTAATAATTGTTAAATTGGAAAAGCTACCGTTAAGGATCACCTGAACTCACGATATTTTATTTAGTTTGTTCCGCGATAAGCGACAACTCCTCTTACAGGGTCCCCAAGCAACCAGATTTCAATTCACAGGAAGGAAAATTATAAAATGACCCGACAGTGAAGTTTTCCTCTCAAAGAGATAAGCACAAATCTCTAACTCCCTTGGACCCACTGATGACAACAGTAAAGACTATACCTAATGACTTAAAATCAACGGCTACGGGAAGCCCGTGAGAATTGTCTTACCGTCACATCTACCGTCTTTTTTAATCGGAAGTTTTTAACTTAACCATGGTTAACCCGAACAACTACGGGTTAAAAATGCAGTTTATAATGAAGAGAACCGCCCCTCCTCTTGGAATCATTGAACGATGCCCAAAAATGATGATCGGAGAAGCAACACGACCAACTCCCACCGTCAAAATACCCTCATGGGACCCGTTCAACGATATTACGTCTAGTATTTCCTCCGTTAACTATAACTGCAATGCACCGTCCAGCCCTTGCCCCGTCGACTACCTCTCCGCCCTCCAACGTTACCTTCCGTCGAACAACTTCGACTCAGATTCGCTTAGTGAGGAGTCGGATATACCCATCGATGCATTCTCGTGTGACCATTTCCGGATGTATGAATTCAAGGTGAGGAGGTGCGCTCGTGGAAGGTCACATGACTGGACTGAGTGTCCGTACGCCCACCCGGGAGAGAAGGCCCGACGGAGAGATCCGAGGAAGTTTCATTATTCTGGAACGGCCTGCCCTGATTTCCGAAAAGGAATCTGCAAGAAAGGCGATTCGTGTGAGTTCGCTCATGGTGTTTTCGAGTGTTGGCTCCACCCGGCCCGTTACCGTACCCAGCCATGCAAAGACGGTACCAGTTGTAAACGAAGGGTCTGTTTTTTCGCTCACACGCCGGAGCAACTCCGACTCTTGCCCCAGCAGAGTCCGAGGGGGAATGGGTCCGGTTCAGGTGAGATAGATTACGTCTGTTCACCTGTACGTTACCGTTTAGACTTGGTTTCTTCACCCACTTCCATTTTGGCATCACCTCCGTTATCCCCACCATCCGATTCACCCCCCATGTCGCCAAGTGGCTCGTTTTTCTCTGCGAGCGAGCTCGCTGCTTCCATGCGTAGCATGCAACTCGGTAAGGCTAAAATGAGCGGCGCTTGTTCTTGGGGCTTGGGTTACGGTTTACCTAGGGGATCCACTCTCCGACCCGGATTTTGCAGGTCTCCGTCAGCCCCGACCCGGTCTGGGTTAGGCCAGTTTGATCTATGGGAATGTAACTATTCGGAAGAAGAACCGGCCATGGAGAGAGTGGAGTCCGGAAGAGACTTGAGGGCTAGGATGTACGCAAAGCTGAGCAAAGAAAATTCCCTTGATGGACCCGAATCTATCGGGTTGGATCCTGATCTTGACTGGGTATCCGAATTGGTAAAGTGAGTGGATACCGGGAAAAATTCAGTTTTCTGTTTGGATTTATTTACGGGAATTGTTTATATATAAAAATGGGTGAAGGTTCTGACTTGTGTGAATATTGATGTTTCTGATTTTCGATCATGTGTAAATAGACGACGGAGAGAGGGAGATATGGAAAGTCTCTACTTTGTGGTGCATTTCTGTTTTTAATTTTGTTTCTGCTTGAGGATGTAAGTAATTATCTATCAGAGCTGCCCAAGAATGGTAAGCCGTTTGTTTATCGGTATGAAATCTCAATTTTCTTCTTGCTCGTCTCTGTAATATGACCCATCAATGTAATATATTTATATTTCTTTGGATGTATTTTCTTTGGTGGTATTTAGGGATGGGTATGGGTCGGGATTTTATCCATCCAACCCAGAACAAAAATTCTCCATCCGAGATCTAATTAGACCAAAATAAAATTTTATTCGATTTGATTTCGATTTAATATATAACTTAAAAATCTGACTCAACTTAAAATAATAATAAAAAAAATTATTTAATAAAAATAGTAATTTAATTAAAAATAATAATATATAGAGGAGTATTATTGTAATTATTTTTAAATATAAGATAAAATTATATATTTTTCGAATCAAGTATTTTTCACTTTGATCTAAACCTGACCCGACTCAAACATCACATTAAAAAAATCTAATCTGACCCAAAACGAACTTAAATTATTATTTTTTTAAATATGATCATATTAAATCGGGTCGAATTAGAACTAGTGGGTTTGAGTCTCATGCCTATCACTAGTGAGTATAAATACATAAACAAAAATTGAGCTCTTCTCGTCGAATTTTCCAATAAATCACATTTTTAAGCTTTATTTCTCTATCAGACACCCCGTTGAACTTTAGTTTTCGATTTAACACACTTTGTAGAAAGACTTTGATGTGGCGTCACGTGGCAGAAGGCATGGCTCATGCATCGCGCCTTATGTTGATATGGCGCCACACTAGGTAAGGCATGCTGCATGGGCCGCGCCTTCTGTCACGTATGGTATGGCGTGGTGCATGGGTCGCGTCTTCTGCCACGTAGGGTATGGCACGGTGCATGAGTCACGTCTTCCTAACAGTCTGTCACGCGTTAGAATAACACGATGCATGGGCCGCACCTTTGCTTTAATTTCAGCAACCACCCGATCGTTCACACCCCTATCCTACCCTATAAATACCTCAAATTTTAATCATTTCATCACACCAAATCCTCTCAACTTTTCTCAAATCCTCTCAAGGTATATTTTATTATATTTAATATTTTGTTAGTATTTTATTATATTTAATATTTTGTTAGTATTTTATTTAATTATTTATATTTTATTTAATTATTTTTTTACAGTTTTAAAATGGAAGGCGATTTGCTTCGTTTAAATGTAAATCATATATCTCGACATTTTGTTGATATGGTAACATTTTTACATTTTAATTTAATTTAAATTATTAGAAATAATTTATTTATTTAATTTTTTATTATTAGTTTATAAATTAATTTTTGCAATTATTAATATTTTTAGGAGAGCGACCGTATTTAGATCATTTTATTCGGAACCTTAAGTTAGCGATACCAACCTGTGTCTGACCGTATTTAGTCGAGGCTGGATTCGGTCACATAGCTAGAAATGAAAGCCATTGTAGGATAGAATCAAACCTGATTTCTGCATTAGTGGAGCGGTGGAGAACGGAGACTCACACATTCCATCTTCCGTGCGGAGAGTGCACGATTACGCTTGAGGACGTTTCCATGCACTTGGGGCTTCCGGTGGATGGAGATGTGATTTCAGGGATAGCGCAAGGTAACTGGACTATTTGTGTCAGGATTATCTAGTAGGTGTCCTGCGAAATTTTAACTGTGGTCGGATACCGTTAAATTGGTTGGATGCAAATTTTCAGAATTTAAGTGAGGACGCCTCAGAGGATCAAGTTAAAAAGTATGCACGGGCATGCATACTGCAGCTGATAGGAGGGTTGCTGATGCCGAAAAAATCGCGCAACCAAGTTCACTGTATGTGGTTGCGGCATCTTGGCGATTTTTATCTGGCCGGATCACTGAGTTAGGGCTCGATAGTTTTGGCATTCCTGTATAGGAAAATGTGTCGAGCGACTGACTACAGGAAAAATGCTATCGGCGGATGTTTCCTTCTGCTGCAGTCTTGGGCATGATATCGCTTGCCCTTTTTATATCTTGTTGTGAAGAAGCCGTTCGTATTCCTGCTAATATTGAGGTAATTACAAAATTGATTTCGTATATTAATCATTTTATCCAATGTATAATAAAAATTATTTCCTTGAATACGTGGTCAATTGACAGGAAAAATCATCGAATCTACTTGATGAATTAGAAATAATCAGGTTACTAATCGATCAGAAGGTTGACACAAATGTATGTATTTTAATGTTTGAAAATCTATTTTGTATTATACTTATATAATTAGATTATTATTTTGATAAGAATTATATATATTTGTTTTAGTTTGAATGGGCTCCTTATTGTAAGGATGATATGAGGATGTGCATCCCACCTGAGTTAAGGGGCCCGTTTGATGTTTGGATGGCGGTGGTCCCTCTGATTTGTTATGCGATTGTCGAGTGGCACCTCACTGATCGCTTGCTCCGGTAATTTGGTTTTTTACAACCAATTCTGGAAGCACCTAGAAATATGGACTAATTGTATAACACAGATCAACGAGGCAAGACAGATATAGATTGGCTAGTGAAACATTATGAGTGAGTCTTGATATGGGAAGATCGACATCGGCGCATTCCCCATAGAGAACCCATTTACGTTGACGATTTGACGGTTGCAGATGGGTATTATGAGTGGTTCAATAGTAATGGGATACCGTTTCTGTTTTTCGAGGATGCACGAGGAGGGAGCATTCATCGACGCCGATAGAGACGTGCACCGTCACAACCCCATAATCCCCCAACTCGTGGACGGAGAGTAGGTGCTTCCGGTTCGTCTTCAGCTACACCACCAGAACCTTCACAACAATCACCATCTGTAACGACGTACACTTCGCAACCATATCTGATGCTGCCACTGCCTTTCCCTTACCAGTTGCCACCGCCTCCACCGTCACAGAGTTATGTGACCCCTCCTAGAGGATATTATGGTTTTATATTTGTAGATCTGACTTAGGGTTCATATACTGGTTATTTGGCGGGTGCAGCCTCACCACCGATGGTCGCCGCACAGACATCTCTTGTACAGTTTTCTCACTCATCGATGTATGTGTTTTCTGAGTTTTCCTAGTTTTCTATGAGCGGTGGGATAGTCAGTCATACACCTCCAGGGTCCTTATTCTACAGAGGTGCTACACCGTCATCAGTTTCTCATAAACAAAATGTATATACTCGTGATGACGAAGACAATGATGATGGTGGTGATGATGATGACAGTGAGGAGTAAGAACCAGTTATATGAAGAACTCTTCCTCGAGACAGACAACCACCGCACTACAGAACACATTCGCACCGTAGACATCGATAATTTTTGATATTTTATTATATTTGCATTTACTTGTTTATTGGATTTTCTTTATTGTACTTTTTTTTATTATTTACCATTTAATAATTGTGTTCGATAACTTTCTTAAGTTTGTCACTTATTATCTCTTTTATTATAATCACATATAACGCCAAAGTCGAATCCCGTTTTCTTGTATTGTTTTTTTTAATTAATTAGTGGTTATTAAATGATATTAACTTTAAGTAAATATGAATTAAACTCGTCTAAACTATTATTCGATAAACAACAACTACATCAATTCCTCATCGATGGTTACTTGATGACAAAAGAAGTGGACATGTTCTTCTAGTGTGTCCTGAGTTTCTACAATGCCCACATTTTTTTGTCGTGCCTAGATCTTTCTCGAATATCCATATTACAATGAATTTGAGTGGATTTTGGCCGACCACGGTCCCTCAATAAAGTCGGATCTGGTACAATCGGAACTCAATTCTAAACCTCATTAGGGTCTTTCTCATTACTTAAGGGGGAACTCAAATTCGTATACCTTAAAACACTTCTGATAGTAGGTATATGGGATCCACAAAACGGTTATAGTCTTGACGGGTATGCGAGCAAGTTGCTATCACATGAGAGCATGGATACTTCAGAGCTTGAAAAAACTCGCAATCGCACCATCCGTGTCATAGATTTACTCTTAACGAGTTAACTTCAATCCCTTGAAGAGGTCACGACAACTCTGTGACACGAAACAAATCATGCGTTCTAGAGAAGCTTGTTACAGACATTCCATTTGATGCAACATTTTTTTTGTAGATCTATAACTAATCTAGGGTGATAGACATGACCGCCTTGTATCCATGTTTGAGCTTGTCCCCCGAGCTTCATAAAAAGCGCCCCCAAACGAAAATATATAGTTTTTACCAAAGCCGTTATAGGTAAGTGACGTGCACCTTTTAAGGTCGAATTGATTGTCTCAGCCAAGTTGGTCGTCATATGTCCATATCGATATCCACCATCATATGCATTTGTCCATATTTCTTTATTGATGAGGCTGATGCATATCCTTCCTCGTTCTTCGCATGTAATTCTTGAAGCATGGATTCAAATGTTTGAGGTAGTAGTTCGTAACATGAGCATAAAATGTAGTACTTACTAACTTTATTTCTTTAAAAATTGAAAATAATCGAAAGAAAAAAAACTACAACAGTTTCATTTACCCATACGCACAAGTAATTGGCGGTCATCATTCTTCTTGAACCTTCCATGGTAGTTCACATCAATGTGTCAGATGCAGTACATATGTTGGACAAAGGGTAGTTGCCACATTGGACCCAAAAACTCCATTGCTGCTTTGATCCTAGCTCCGCGATCTGAAATGACACAAATTTTTCCCCTCGTGATAACATATGAACGTAAGTTTCAGAGGAAAAAAGCCCAAGAATATGTATCTTCTCCTTCAACAAGGGTAAAAGCAACTGGAAGAATGTTTCGATTACCATCTTGGACAATTATCAATAGTAAAACTTTCTTGTATTTTCTATACAAGAAAGTCTCGTCGATCTGGACCACAGGCTTGCAGTATTTGACAGCATTAATGCATTGTGGGTAAGTCCAAAAAATCTAGTAAAATTGACATCGATCGCGAAGAACTCGATCATTATGGTATGCATGGCAGGTTTCGAAGTTCACAATTATCCCAGGATTCAACCTCCACACCACCCTAAACCAACTTGGAAGTTCGTTGTAAGATACATCCCATTCGCCTTGAAGTTTTTTAATGACATTCTGTTTTGCCTTCCATACTTTTTTGTATGAGGCGGAATACTCATACTGCGATTGTATAGTTGAAATCAACACAGTAATAACTATATGTGAGATTGCTTTTACCACTGGCATGATGGCTTGGCAGATCACTTCAGAGTCTAAGTTGGGATGATCTTAGTTAATCCCTCCAGCACAACATATGTGAGGACCGTTGTATACCGTTAATTCTCATCTATTGTTTTTCCTATTCCTCTTCGATATGCGAACCATCCAATTGCATCTATTTTCACGTCGGACACAGTGGCATACATACTTTTATGTCGTAGAACGGTCGACTCTGGGTTGAACATAATTATGGATATTGTAATTTTTTATAGCCATCATCGTTTCTTCTTTGCTTGAAAACTCCATGCTTAAAGAAAACTCCATGCTTAAAGATAACTCACCATTATTTATTGATGAGTAAAATTCATAGTCACCGAGATTAGGAATATCCTCAAATTCTGGCCCGTACATTGTAACATAGTCAGCTTCATACATGTGTGTTGGACGTTCAGTTTGTGCCACATTTGTGGGAACTTCATCATCATCATCGGAGTTGAATTGCGGTGATTCTGGGTGAATGAATAGTCCATTCTCAACACCATCCACACCTAGCTCACGAAGTGGTTCTTCTGGTGAAGATGATGGTTCCTCTATGCTCTCCACATTTAGGTTGAAGAACCTACTACTTGCATGACTTCCCCTTGAACTAGAAGGCATATCAACATTGAGATCGAAAAAGCTCGCAGTAGAATGCCTCCCCTTGGAGCTTGAAGTCATCGTGTCAAATGGAAATTGCACAGATTGTTGCGTCGAGGGCATCTCCATATTAAGGTCAAAGAAATTGGCAGATGAATATCTTCCTCTTGAACTAGACGCGATGTTGCCATACGGATTGTTCGTGGACTCACCTCGGTACATATCGTAAGGAGTTGCTGATGAATGTCTCCCCATTGAAGTTGTTTGGACGACACCATGATGTGGATTTCCCATTGTGACATTAAAATCATTACACATTACTGTAGTCGGGCTTTCAACTTGATCAGCTTGTTCATCCAGCCCATAGTGAGAGCTTAATGCAGACCCCGAACAACACACACTTCAACAAACTTTGCATACATCTCCGTATCAGCGTCTGAATAATGATTTCGAGCAGCCATCATTTCAACATCATCATTTTTCGATAGTTCGAACGCTTTATAAGTTAACGAAAATAATGATGTTGGAAATTTGTACAAAAGCGACGACATTCTTCTAGTACTTCCAACATGAACATTCTTTAAAATCTTCGTTATCAGCTCCTCAAGAGTTATGTTTCTCTTGAAGGATATTTTAACATAATGATTTGATATGAAAACAACGCCAGTTTCATCTTCCCAAATTTCTCCATCATAATAAACAATAGCTGAAATACACGTCATTTTTAGAGTTTGAAAGTGAGACAATCTTATATCTGTAAAAAAACCTGAAACAAGCCTAATTAAATAAATAATATATAAATTAAAATATAACGCAATAATTTTTTTTACACATAAACGTAAATAATTTAAATAATATAATTTTATATTATTACCGTATCGTCAAAAATATTTCGACATATGCTTCCGCTTTCCAATTTTACAATCACAAAAATTAATTGAAAACAATTAGTACAATATTTTTTTCAAATAATCATATATAATTATAAAAAATATTATAAAAAAATTACCTTACAACGAAAGATCGAACAAACTTCTGAATCAAAGATAAGAGGATTGTCAGGTGATATTTATGGGCTGAGAGGATTATTGTTTGATCTTTTTGGTTGAGAGGTTGTTGTGTGAAAGTTTAGGGGGAGAGGGTTATTTATAGTCGAGAGGAAATGATTTAAAGGCAAAAGTTCGGATAAAATTATGAAAGGCGCGGCCCATGCATCGCGTCATTTTGACGAGTGTCAGAATTAAAGCAAAGACACGACCCATGAACCACACTTTATCCAGCTTAACGCCACGTCAGCATAAGGAGCGGTGCATGGACGTTTCTTCTGCCACATGGCTCCACATCAGGATTTCTGCTAAAAAATGTTAAATCAAAAAATAAAATTCAACTGGTGTCTTACATAGAAATAAAGTTTATATCGATAATTTATTGGGAAATTCGCCACTCTTCGCATAAATAATCTAGAAAACAAAAATATCATTTTCATGTCAATTGAAAGTGGGTTTTATCACGTAATTCCAACCTCATTGGGTCTGTAAATCAATGAATTAATAGGAGCAATAAAAACAATTTATTGATTTGATCCATCACCTTTAATATTTTAAAGATTTTATCTCCTCATGATTCCATTTCTGAAACTGATGACTCTTAGGCTCTTGTTCATAGAAAATTTATTATTTTTATTACAATTTAATATATATCTTCTATTATTTTTATTTTTTATTTCTTCGAAAGTATATTAATCTATTTATATTAATATAAATAATATATTTATATTTATTTTAAGGTATCAAGATATTAAGAGATATACAAGAAATATATATATATTTATTATGATGAAATATGATGAAAATATATTTTAGGTGTTATATTTTTTTATTTATTTATGTTACACTTTTATTTTATTTACCCTACATGTTTGAATTTTTTTATTCATGTTATATTCTTATTTGATAAAATTAATAAAAATATAATATAAAAAATATTTTATTGTATACATCATATTAGCAAGAATTTAAAATAATTATTAAATTTTTATATATGTAATTATAACTTAATATCATAACATTTTAGAATATAAGTCAACAGTGAATTAAAATCCTTTCATTTATTATAACTTACCGTTTAAAGAACTTTAAACTTAGAATGGATGATTTTGGAATAATTCTTTTATTGTAGTGTATTTTTGTCCAAATTGATAGAAATTAATATTTTTATTATGGGATAAGTAAAATATAAATCTTTTTAAATATAATTTTTAATCATGAAAATTGATAGAAATTGGTAAATACCTAAAGAAGATAGGAGAGAGACATTCCCATAAAAGCATCCAAAAACTGACACGATAGAAAATGCATCATTAGTCTTTGGAAGGAACACTCTTAAATTAAACGTGGGCACGTGATATTGGAAAAAAATATTATGTTTTATTTACACGTATTTGGCATGTAAACGAATCGAACATATACGAACGAATGTATGTTAATGTCCGT